GAGAAGATAGGGAAATACACATGGCCATTCACCACCACATTTCCCAATCCTGTCACATCCCAAATTTTATAACACTAAAACTCCTGAGAGGTGACAATCTATTTATAAAGAACCGAAACAAATTCCAAATTTTTACTATATAATTGTCCAAAACAAATTTTCTATTCAAAAGCTTTTTGTACAAAGTCTATTTCACAGCTTATAATAACATGAAGTCCATATATATATATACAACTTTGATTGACATAAGTTACAAAGGCGAATTTATCCATGACTACAAACTTCTCCCAAATTACACATGTTGTATATATAAACAATACGATTGCGATTACTTTGAAAAAATTTCACAATAGTTTGATGAATTTAACTACTTAATAAGTGACTATCATTATCCTTGAAAATCAAAGATTAGAGGATGTAAACATTTTCTAAAAGAATGCATAATAAGCAGAAATTCGATGTATTGTTTTCATACATTCTAACACATACTATTAGACAGATTCATTTCTATTCTTACACATATCATCTATTTCTTATTGGACAAGTAAAATAAGTATGTTACATAAACTATATGCATGTGATTCATATCAGAATCAATTATAATCTAAATTTAATAGTTTAAAACATTACTACAATCAAGTATCAGATATGATCAAACAAGCATTTACAACAACAGAGGTCCTATAATAGAAGCACTAACCTCGGGTCTCAAGCCTCGGGTCTAAGGTTAGAACTTCTACTATCTCAAAGGAGAAGCACCACCAACGGGTAAATCCATTGCGTAGCACCTCACACACACACACACACACACAACCACAACGCGCTTTGGGGCTTTTGATAGGCACAGCCCTTGCAAAGCATGGCCTTCTCATGTGCCATTTTGGCGAAAGAGCGTTACACTATCAAAGAGGTCCTAATGAGTAATGCCTTACATAAGTTTTGGAGGTACGACCTCCCAGACACAATTCACTCCTAACATCCTATCATAGAGAGAAGGATAATATGTCGACATAAATATCTCATCAGATCATAACAGAGGCATGTCTCCATGCACTCATATCTTATCGATCGCATGTTACCATGCACATATATCTTATCAGAAGCATGTTATCATGCACACATATCTTATCAGAAGCATGTTGTCATGCACACATATCTTATCAGAAGCATGTTGTCACGCACACATATCTTATCAGAAACATGTTACCATACACACATATCTTATCAGAAGCATGTTGTCATGCATACAATCTTATCAAAAGCACGTTTCATATGTAATCACAATAAACATCAACATTTATATGCTATATATATAGCCACAAGGGACATCATTATGTCATATTATCATGTGTATAAATTCAAATGTTATTATTATGTTAATTGCATACCATATATCAATATAGTAGATATTAGGAAACAATAATATTGTATTCTAAAAATATTCTTGAATTCATTAATATGAATTCACACGAAGTAATTCATAATAATTACTTGCACATAACATTTGCACATAATACTCACACAGATACTTGCACATAATAGTTGTACATAACACGTGCACTTAACAGTTGCACATGACATGTGCGCAAAACACGTACACATGACGTTTGCACATACTTGCATATAACATTAACAATATCTAGGAGTTATATTGTAAATATTACAATTAAATACATAAATACGTAAACTTACAATTTCGAGAATATTACAATTACAAGCATAAATATCTTTGGGAATATATGTTACCTATATGTTACTCGGAGATAGATATGTTACTATTGTTGCCGGAGTAGAACTGGAATCAATGGTGTTCAGCTAAAAGTAGAAAGGAGAGACTAAATGAGTTTCTATGAGAAAGGAGCATAAAAATATGTTCATATAACAGAGCAAGAAAAATTATTATAAGTCTCTTAATTATTTTAAGAGCACTAGTATATGAGAACATACTAACAAAATCATAATAAATATTATAATAACATTAAATAATGTAAATAAAATTAGTGCAAAATAATATTCATATAAATGATATGTAAATGCAAACTGATAATAAGATAAATAAATAAAATATATATGTAAAATCAATTCATAATATTATAAAATATTTCACATAGGATGATGCAATAAATTGTGATCTTTGATGATCTACTTCAAAACATTTTTACCTACATCCCTAGCAACCTCAGAATAAAAAATTCTTGTGTCTTAACATGTTAACCCTACTATTTAATAAAAATAAAATTTGAACACCAATATTGTGAGATTAATGAAATTATTATGCAATATGGTATGCAATAAAAATGAACCAGTAAGGAACAAGTAAGGTAAATATCATGGTATGAAAATACAATGAAAATATCATGCAATATGGTATGCAATAAATATAATGCAATAATGAACATATCATGTAATATGGTATGCAATAAATATAATGCAATAATGAACATATCATGTAATATGGTATGCAACAAAAAATGAATAAGCAAAGAAATCTTCTGCAATATGGTATGCTAACAATTAACAAAAACATGGTTCATACAATAACACCAATATGATGAGGATAATAAAAATATTATAAAAATCATAACAGTATTATGAGAATAATGAGAATATTATGAGTGAGAGAGATTTACAGGATAGGACTTAGTTATTGAGTGAAAAAAATAAGAATATCAAGAATACGAGCATGTCGATGGCAACGAAGGAATCAGAATTCAAGGACCTAGTCTTACGCATGAAGAAACCAAAGCTTCTCTTGCAAAATTGAACTCAAAATCCGAGGCCTAAAGAACCAACTTTCAGTTTCCAAGAAGGAATTGGATACAAAAACCTCATTGATTGAAGCCCTAAACTAGAGCCTAAAGATGACCACTGCTGAAAGAGATGACTTAAAAAAGAAAATCTCAAATTTGGATATTTGGGGTAAAAGACCCGTTGTGCCGACCACTCGCTCCCGTTTCAGTCCATTCAAAGCTACTAAGTTCTTGTAGGAGCCTTATCGATTGGTAAGCCCTCTACTCCTAATCCCAACTGGCCTACAAGAAGTTCAAGTCATCCACTGAAGAAAAGATAGCCTATGAAGCTTATATCACAAAAAGAAAAAGAAATTCTTGAGGTGAGAGAACAATTGGAGCAGGCCTCAAGATAAGCTGCTAAATATCATGGGTTAGTTGATGAGTTAACAGCACCTAAATGCAGGTTTAGAGAGATGAATACACACTGGACAACCCAAGAGACCTTAGAATCCTCCAAGCTTAAGACTCAGAGCTTGCGATATACAAAAATGCATCATTACTTGCGGTAACCTAGATTTTTTATGGAAAATAAGGCCACATTCGACCATTTGCAGACTTACATAAATGCATCATTACTTGCAGTAACCTAGAAGTTTAAAACCCCTATTTATCTAATCAAAAGTTAATAGTGAAACGTGCATCTCCAAATCAGGGAAGCATATCATACAAGACACTACCAAAGCAACTGATATCCAACCTCAATGACAAATTGTGGAGACTAATCGTATTTCCCTATGACACGATACACATTGGGAAGAGACAGTGCCCCATGACAATGATGAAAGATATACCATGCACCACCAGTGCATGAACCACTAGTGTATGCAGAAATGAGGAGACAAGAAAATAAGCAGTATAAACTATTAAAGCAGCTGAACTACAAAAGATACCTGTATGCGAAGCAGGTAATATATAAACTTATACTCGTTGGACATAAGTAAAAAACAAGAAAAAATTAATATCATTTATTGTTACACTCCATTAACCACAGCTTAAACATGTCCTGTGGATCAACCATTTTAACAGTTGCATTCTAGCGCATAATGTGCATCACATGCACAAGCTACAATTTCGATGGCTGCATGCTGCCTCATAATGTGCGCCAGAAACAAATGCTAGAGAGAGAAAGAGAGTCCAAAAGATCCACATGCATCATCCTGCAGTCTAGGTTGCCTCCTGCCCCTAAGAATTCTCTCCTGACTTGTGACACCCATTGAAATTTTCTTCTACCAGCTCAAGTCTCCAAGACCAGGGTGAATGGTATTAGGGGAAAAAAAATTTTCTTTTCATTTTTTTTTGGGGAACTGTTAAACATTTGTATTAAGAAAGAGTGGTATTAGGGGAACTGTTGACATCAGATGGACAGTCAGAGTGTTTATATCCTGCAATAAACACAGCACTTTTCCCCATTTAAATATATACTGGGATTCACAAAGGCAACCAGTCGCTACAAGCAAACAAACAATTGATAAGACTTTGATTAATAAATTTATCAAATTTCAATAACTTTCTAAAAAACAGCTTACAATAAACTCCTCCAATCATCCATCATCTAAATTATTCTGCCAATAGAAACACGAAGAGGAAGAGAAACAAAGAAAAGCAAAGGACATATTTACAACTTATTTGATTCTCACACAGCCTTCTCAGCCCCACCATCCCCAAGACCCTCCACTATAGTTGCAGGAGGGATAGATGTAGTAGTAGCTTCGGCCCTATCCCCATCCTTCACAGCTAACAGAATCAACACTACCAGCAATGGGTAACTTACGGTCATGAGAGACCAGTTAACAATCAGCTGTGACAATAGTGCTGTCTGGTGTTCATCCACCTGCCATGCCACTGCAGCCCCCGCACTCTGGACCCCTTTGTAGAACCCAGTATACCTGCCATTACGTTGCCATAATCAGAGTCCAGCACATATTTGAACACATAATTCAGGCACCCACAGGGGGAGAGAGAGAGAGAGAGAGAGAGAGAGAGAGAGAGAGAGAGAGAGAGAGAGAGGGAGTACTACTACCTACTACTACTATCTACTACTATACTAAGTAAATAATAAGTAAATAAAGTACGACTATAGTTAGTTAGTTAGTTGTTGTGTACGTACT